ATACTGTGTTTTTGTCGCTCGAATGAATTTTATTATTTCTTCAAGGTTCTTCACATATGTACACCTTAAGAAATATCAAGTAGGCGTAACATGTTCTCAAAAAATTAGGGTCGGCACACAGAAGAATTTGAGTCAGAGATTTTGCTGGTTTTGGCACGCACTCACAAAAAGGTTGCCCACCCCTGGGCTAGAGCGTCAGCCCACCAACTGAAGGGTCACAGTTTCAATTCCGATTTCTTTCAAGGGCATGTACCTTGTTTCAGGTTACCCAGCCCTGTTTGGGATGAGCAAATGAGGTAACCAATCAATGTGTCTCTCTCACATAGATGTTTCTCTCTCTCTCTCTCCCTCTCCTTTCCACGCTCTCTAAAAATCAATGGAAAAATATCCTTGGTGAGGATTAAGAAAAAGAAAAAAGAAAGAAAAAGGCACTATAGTTCCCTGATTTAAAAAAATAAAATTTTAAAGAAAAATCATCATTAAGCTCAAGTTTGATCTCTTAAAGGAGAAAGCTAAATGCATATTAAGAATTTGTGAATCAAATATACCCTTTTGGTGTGGAAAAATGGCTTCGGTATGAGGATGTATAGTACAGGAAACATAGTCAATGTTGTATTATCTGTGTATTGTGCCAGGTGAGTATGCTTTTTAAAGTTTATTATTGTCTAATCACTATGCGGTACACCTGAAACTAATATCAACTGCAATTGAAAAATAAAAATGTTAAAAAATGGAATGAGTATGAAAGAAAATATTTTTGTTTTCAAGTATGAATATCTATTTTTAAACATCTTGGGAACTGTACTGTCCAGTACAGTAGCTATTACATTTAAAATTAAATAAAATTTAAAATTCACTTCCTCAGTCAACATACCACTAGAGGCTTGCTACCATATTGAAAGCACTATTTTTAGAACATTCCCAGCACTGAACTAGAGAAAAGGGTTCTAAAAGGCTTTTACAACAGAAAAATTATTATTCCATTCCTGTGAAAGAACCAGCCTGAAGACAAGGGAACAATAACTTCTTACCATCACTCCTAACCCCTTATAATATTTTAGCACAGATTATTTTCAAATCACTGTAAAACACATTTTACATTTGAAAATAGGTCAGGTCAAAGTCATTTGTTTGGCTTACCTTTACAGAAATGTTTGATTTACGTTCTAAAAAAGAAAAGAAAAAATTACTAAACTATCAACTGAAAACAGACTAAGGCAGTTATAAAATTAAATTAGCATTGTTTTAAGATATTACTACCAGTAGAAATATTAACCCCAAAAAGCATTAACTTTAGGTCCTGAGTGCTTTTTTATAGTATGGTTCAAACATTTCTACTTCATTTTTATTTTCCAAGGTAAAAAGTATAAACAGGTCAGGGAAAAAGAAAATAATGTGAATGAGAAGACTACCAAAGTATATACTCTGAGTTTTAAAATTAATATGAAAAATGGCTTTAGCAACTGTGGTCTTACTGTAGATTTAATTTTCTCAAACATTACATTCTTTACATGCACAGAACATAAGTACATTTTCACTCAGGTTATACATTAGGCAACTGGGATATTTGCCATATGCAAATATAATGAAGAGATATATAACACATGAACTATATTGGAACATTAAATTTCATGAATACTGACAGTGGTAAGCAGTGATGTACCCTGAATTGGCTAAAAATCAATTTGAGGAAGTTAGGGTAAACTGCTTTTTTTCAAAGTACCATTTAAATATCCCTCTACTACAAGTAAAAAGTCAGTTAAAGTAGTATAAATTTTATATAGTAATTTTAAAAGTTAACATTTTTAGATTCCAGTAACAGAGCATACCATATGGAGACAATATTAGCTTGGTTTTTCCATCCAATAATTCAGTTTCAAGCTTTAAACCATCTCTGCAAAATAAAAGAAAATTGTAAGAAACAGCAACATTTTAAATAGCCAGAAATGCTCACTTGAACCTGAAAGTAAATGTTCTTTTGAGTTATAGAGGAATCTTGTAAATATTAAGCCATTCTTTTAATGAAAAACATTTTCAATCAAAGATAAAACTGAAACTACAGGGAGATCCACATTATTGAAACTTTCCAATAATTAAAAGAATTATCTTTAACCTGACACTTCATTTTGTTACTGGTAAGCAACAAATTAATTCAGTTATTATACTATCACTTAATTCTTACAACTCTAGACTGGAAAAAGCAATGCTAACAAAACTCACTTAAGTTAAAGGAGCAAAACCTGTCTAACTCCATTTATTAGTTTCATAATGGTCTCCTGATTAACCTATTTTATGGCATGCTAGTGCATTATTTGAAAATGAGCTATCACATTGCCACCCCAGTTACTCACTGTTTGAGCACAGATACTTTCAATATTCAACGAATATATATTCACATTTACTGACACATTTGTTATCACAATAAATCTACAGGGAGGGGAAAATGTAGCTTTACAGTTTTGAGTATTCAAAATTATTCACATTTACTGACACATTTGTTATCACAACAATAAATCTACAGGGAGGGGCAAATGTAGCTTTACAGTTTTGAGTATTCAGAATAATTGATTCTTGTGTTATTTGTTAATTATTGTATTACTTTCCATACGAACAACTGTAAATCTACTTTTGCCCTGCCCGCTACAAGAAACTGTGGCTGCTTTACATTTTTTAAAGATTTTTAAATTGATTTTATGGACAGAGGGCGAGAGAGGAAAACATCGGCGGCCTCCAGCACGCCCCCTACTGGGGATGGAGCCCGTGCCCCGATGGGGAGCGGGGCGGATGCAACCGGCAACCCTTCCGGGCTCGGATAGGATGGCATCCAACCCCGAGCCACACAGGCCGGGGCCGGCTCCTCAACTCTTCACTTGTGCGTGTCAAAGCAGAGAGCGGAGTCCCAGCAGAAGCTGCCGATAAACGCGTGCATCTGTGAAGGTCCTCATAAAAACTCCTCTAAAAACAACAGCAGCAGCCCACAAAGTTAATTTACTATTTTAGCTTAAAAAAAATGGTGGGACAAAAGTGACTTCCAAGAGACAAAACTCACTCCAGCGGGCCAGTCAACGAAGAGCGCGGTTGGGAAGGTCTGACTAGGAACACGAAAAGGTGTTTGGGGGGAAGAAGGGGGGACACACGTCACCTCGAGGTGCTGACCAAGATAAAATGCTGGGAAAGTCGGCTCCGAAGGCTCCCCTGCTGCGGGGATACCAAGAGTCCATGCTGAAACACACGCTTTAAATCAGCGGTTCTCAACCTTCCTAATGCCGGACCATTTCATTTAGTTCCTCATGTTGTGACCCAACCATAAAATTATTTTCGTGGCTACTTCATAACTGTCATGTTGCTACTGTTATGAATCGTCATATAAATATCTGATATGCAGGATGTATGTTCATTGTTGCAAATTGAACATAATTAAAGCACAGTGACTAATCACAAGAACATTATTTAATTATGTATGTGTTTTCCGATAGTCTTAGGGGACCCCTGTGAAAAGGTCGTTCGACCCCCAAAGGGGTCGCGACCCACAGGTTGAGAACCGCTGCTTTAAATGAAACCGCAGAGAACACCTGTTGGGCAGCACCGCGGGCGGTAAATCCCTTCGGCTGCCCTGTTTTCTTGTTCCTAAATCCTGGAACAAGAAGTCTACGTGCCAGACGATGGGAAGTGGCCTGCGTTCGGTGACTTTTCGCCTCCTTAAAATATTAAATTTCTCAGGGATGAACACCAGGCAGCAGTCCTCTGTATTTACTCAGCGC